TATATCAGGATGTGTATTATTGGATAATTGGTGTTTCAACATGGATGTGCGTGTTAAGCGTGAAGCCTACACTTCAAGTGATTTTAAGCAATATTCGTTGTCTGTACTACGTACGCTACTATAAAATACGTTGTTGAAGGAATGATGAGTAACTACTTTCGTCGACTATTGTGGTCAGTATTGTAATGGTTGGTCCTCGACTGACCTGCCAACCCATATGACCTTCGGTGGCCGCCAAAACACAATCCGTCCACAGGCTTGTAGCAATATGGATGGTTCAAACCACCTCATATTCAGCCTGTAACACGCAACAATGCGATTCCATCCTGTGATCTTGATGAGGCTTCGACCTCATCGTTAGTCTACGATAACGTGATATATTTAAATTGATCGGTAATATCATTCACTATGGTTATTCTGGCGGTATACATATGTACTCATATATTTGTTATAATCTATTATTAAGTTATTTATGATATTTTTGTCAACGATAAAAATGTGATACAGTGCCATATATTTTTGCTGGCTCAAGGCGAGGTATACATTGAAAATGAATTCTCTAAATTGTTGAAATATTGTAATATCGATCTCAATATGTATGCTACAATCTTCAGGCTTGTCCGAGTGTGTCAATAGTACCTGAGGTTCGAGCTGTAACTTAAGACATTATGTAAATATGAAGCTGAGCGGGAACCAGCCTCATGGCTAAGTAATGCGTCCTAGCTAGACTGCCCATTGATTCGTGTACGAGGTGAAAACTATTATTTGATTACAACTGACGAGTGTTACGCATTCAACACACAATTATATACAAAGTAAACCAAGTTGACGTTTCTACAATCTTGTTGGCGTGAACTAATAGTTTCCTGGGGGGTGCCGGTGCTAGATGACGACACGATGATGGATCAATTTATGAGAAATCGTACGTACTGACCATCCGACGCAAAGCCTCAGACACTCTAGTGACGGGGGAGAAAATGAACACACAGATATCAACTACTCAGTTAATGATCTATGATGCTCTAATGGCCGCTGTATTCTGTTGTGACCGACGTCGAGTGCAGTGAATATCACGGAAGGTGAAATAAAGTGATTGCATTATTAACATAATGTTTTGTAACGTAACTTAGTAGGTAGATAGGAGAGTTCGAAAAGGGAAGATGTATCGCAGTAATAATAAAGGAAATTACGAGACCGATAGAACGATAAACGGTCTCTACTGGAGTTTTTAAGTTTTGCTTTTTTGAGGAAACTTTTTGTAAACGCTGAAATCTAGTATCGACTATTTCACTGTTTCAATACTAACGCCTGGGGCGAAACAGAGATTAATTTAAGGTATAGTTCGAGTGTAATGATCTTCGCGCTGATCAGGCTTATTGTTACAATTACGTTTGGAACTCGTAAAACGGGCAACGTAATCGATATCGTCCTAATCGCTACTCCAAGAAAAACTTAAGACGACAGCATTGATCTTCCTGTGAAGGTCGCGGCGCTAGCTTTGAAGTTGCCCTTTCAGGGTATCTTTATAATGGCGACGGACCGATATCAAAATATGTACGAGTTAAAAAAAAATTAGGGTGTTTAGCTATAGTTGTATTAGAAAACGACAAAGACGATATGTATATCGAAGCTCACGAACTCGAAATGGCTATCATACATCTGTTAAGTGTCTCGGAAAAGTAAGAACGCATTTTAAATTAACGTAACATACTTAAACGTAAATAAACGTGATTAAGGCGCTGCACAAACAATAATTTTCTTTTTTATGAACACTTTCTTTTACCGTCCATTGGACGTTTCGAGAAAGATACACAACCATCGTTTTAACGAATTCCTTTTTAACTCGGTGTAGAAATCATAAGGATCTTTTTTGCAATTTTTAAGAACCTCTAGATAGGTACATCTTGCCCTGCCCTGCTGCTTACTCTTTTCGTCATGTTTACTCCGGTCACCATTCTGACATTTACAACAATTGGCGAATATATAATGTTTAAATAATATGCTCTAAGTTATTAAAGAGTATCCACAGCGATAGGGTGCTGGTAATTTAGAAAACGCCGCCGTTGTCACCTGTTCAATAGGCTGCAGCACGCATCGCCTCATTTGTCAAAAGATTTCAAAGAACGAACAAACTGAACACATGCTTGACATGACTCCTTTCAGTTCCTTAAGTTCCTTAAATCGACGGTAGCGAAAGATTTCAGTAAGCGGAGATCGTCCTAAGCGGATATTGTGGCTCGATCGTAGGGAAAGGAATAAGACGGTCCCTACCCAAGATCTTGTGCATGAAGCTTAAGAAAGCGTGTATTCTGAGGTGCCTCAAAAGAAGAATCAAACCTCTATTCATCTGTGTAAACATGGTAAGTATTATTAGATGAGTATTCCTTGAAAACTATACAGCGTGAGCCATGTTGACAGTAGTACATAAGCTTTATGTCGACATAATCCATACCTATCTTTACTGTAACATGAATGTTCATCGAACACTCGATATGGGAAAGCTTACGGTCCTATGATAAAGTATCGAGGGCTGATGAACTAAATAAGTATTTAACTCTCTGTTTTTTTATATACAGTGTTTGTTGTAGGCCTTTGCTATTTATTTATGCCTAGTCAATACAAAGTACCCAGGTCTTACAACGTTTAATCGACTTTCGTTGTAAGAGATATCTTCGAGCTCCTTATTCTTACGTTGGGATTACTAGTTTTTTGAACATGAAAAGTTTGCCTCAAGGTTTACTAAGTTGTTTATATTACGACTCTGAATTGACTTGTCTGGTAAGTTATTACAGGGCAGAATGGACGACAAAAGCCTCGTCCTCAAGCCGTCGGATCAATAATAGCATTAGTTATGCCCTGCCTTTAAAGATTATATGCTTAGTCAGCGAACAGCTAATTTATGAGCGGTACAGAGTTTGGTAGTCTATTAAATATCCAATACGTTCCAAATGTAGCACAATTTTAAGATAAAGCAGTGTAAATTATCTATGACGACATTTCCTATGATATGCTTTTTTTAATATTCATTTACGCTGACAATGTATTTGACAAATCAAAATCCAACATAGGGTTGGAGTTAGCGTATTTAAGTGTTGTTTACTTCGTGAAGCAGAAGACGGTTGAAAAATGTACGACCCACGTTTGTACTACATCTAACATTTTTAGTTCATAATCGTGATTTCTTTGATACTTACCATAGCAGTAGCTCCAGATATTTCCTCAATGGATACCACACACACTTTTTCCTCTGTTCATCTATATGGTTATCCTTTTGTTATCCTCTAATAATAACGTCTATTCGCAATTTTGGTGCCGCTCGTTATGTAAACAGATCATCAATGCAAGTTTGAATAGCAGTAAATTAAGTTGATAACATATCTAATAATTTATTTTTTGTATATTTGAATAAATCTAGAGAAAACACAGGGCGTGCTGGTTCCGTCATACAACGCACGTATATCAGATATGCTAGTAGCGCAAATTAGAGCTCTATAAAATAGACTTAAATGCTACTTCCCACATCAACGAATCTATGAACACTCTTGCGCAATCTTCTATCGTCTTTAACCTAGCGCTCAACAATTTTATGCAAATTGTATATTGCCACCTGAATCAAGTTCAAGGTCTTGAGGGAATGGTCTTGTCCGGTACAGGGGCCGAATGCATTATACAGATAATAAGGGCTAATAGTGTTGTAAGCCTCGTCCTAATATCTTTGGCTATTACGTTATCGATAAGCTTCAAGCTCCAATTCGACTCCTACTGCAAAGCCACCTAATAAAAAAATCCAGATGCAGGCTCGTTTTGTTCAGAGTTGGCGTGCGCGAGTGTTTGTAACGCATCACGGGTCTACTCCAGGGCATTTGAATAAACCCTTGCTAGAAGGATTATGCAAGGTTTGTGCTTTAGGTACGTATTTGATTTGCCATTATCCACAACGATTGATACGTAGATGCTGATTACTACGCTATGGGTGCCCAGGAACATTTATCATCCATGGAAAGTGTTTTGTACAAGTTTCAAAGGGCTCACCGCTTGATAAATGTTCGCGTGACCGAAGGTCAAACATTTTTGTCAAACAATGACAGTTATTTCAAATGATTATGTAATTATGATGTACTTGTTACGTGTCAACTGTGCAGTCTATGGAACACTGTTTTTTTTAGGTAGAGAAGCAGTGTATCGCATGGGCTAATAACGCTCTACATGTAAGGCCAAATTTCCAAATTTCAAGTGAGATTCCCGCTTAAAAACGTTTTCCACTAGTTGTACGTACATGCTGCACCTTGTAATATGATTAGAGTGCATATCTAGCTCTGTTAATGAATACAGATATGTTACATTATTTAAAATACATATATTCATTAGATATCGACTCTATTTGATCACTATATTGGAACATAAAGGCAGGACCAAATGTAGAACTCGTAACATTTAGTTATGTAGATACTTACTTGAGCGGAATTTTTGCGTGCAAAATTATGCAAATTCGATCAGTTGTACAGCAATACTTAAGAGTTGATCTTTAGTTTTTAGTAGTTGAAATCATTCTCAGTATTTCCAGATTTCCGCTATACTAACCCTTTGCAACAACAATCGAAGTACCAGTGTCTTCTTACCTCTGGCACCCACATCTATATGGGGTAACCTCGCATAGTCTTAGTGTCGAGTTCGAAATCGGTAGAAAACCTAACCCTATCGTGTAAACTAACTTGGTTATTAAAGAGATTTTCGATGAACAATTTTTATAATTACTGTTTTTCTAAAATCTCAGTTGCTTTCATTATTATTTTTGTCTCTTAGTTGATTTTTGTTTATCACTTTATACTTCTACGATTTTATCCAAACTTATGCATTATTTCTCTTTTTTAGAATCTCAAAATTAACCTTTTGTGGAAATGGTACATTCACCTTCGCCCGAACTTGAGATACGATTTGTCATCGCGGCGATGACAGGTTTATAGAATAAAACAAGCTTCTAGTCTAAAAAGTCAGCTATCAGCAAATGTCAAATTGGTAAAGAAACGAAGATGAAAATATACATGCATGTTGTTACTGAAGCGCTCAAAGTAATTTCATTAAAGTTAACCATTTTAAAGGATTGGATAAGTTTCAAATAAAAAAAAAAAAAACATTGAAAATATGTCATTTTGTAGAACGTTCTGGCCAAATAAGTTACCTCATTTTACGGCATTCATCACTACGATTGTCTCAAATAAATTGCTCAAAAAACCATGCCTGGCTGGTTTTGTTTACTGGTCAGCTTTCGTTCACTCCTGATGATGAATGAAATGTATATACATATTTACTCTATTGGTATTTGTCGTCATCGTACTTACATTGATTGTGAAAAAACTATATTTTCAAGATTAACTAGTCATTTTTCGTTTAAGTCAGAAGTGCCGGAGTAGGTCTGTACTAGTTGAAGGTAGCTCGATAGATTCAAATATGATAATTTTATTTTATTATAACTGATTCCAGTTCGACAGGCCATCTCTAAAAGAAAAAACTTGTTAGACGGGCCTGTACTTTTTGGTTATAGAGCATGTGAAACAAATTTTCTGAATAGCTTCTACAGCGTTTTAACTTTGGCGAAAAATTGGTGTTGCAAATCGATATCTTTTTCATCCGACATCTTATCCTTCATGTTTTCCGTCTGGGGTAAATGTCCACCTTGGAGTCTGAAAATACAGTTCAATTCGAGGTACAGCCGAGGACGCGGGCAATGCATTGGTAATGGCGGGAAACAAAGAGCTCTCCGACTGTACATTACACTTAGCTATTAACAAACGAAAACGTTCGAAAAGCGAGGTTGTAAACAAGAAGTGTTTTTGTCTTTAAACAACTTAATACATATGTGATATTACCTGAGAATACTGTACCGTCATACGGAGGCTGCTTCGAAACAGCTGTTTGCAGCTGTCAGGAAGATTATAACTTACTTAATGTTTTTGGATGGATCGAACAGTAGAATTTTCGACAATAAGGCATCGTATAACATAACCTCTACTAGTAGAATAGCCCTTTTTTTCTAGTCGTTTTAAGTTCATAAGTGTTTCATCGATGGCGTGGTCGCGATGGTGTTACATGTACTTTGCTTAATCAGATATGTCGTGCAGTGTATGCCCGTAACGTACTGCATCGATCCGAATGCAGCACGTTACGGATATGCTTCACCTGAAATACAGCTTTAAACTTTGGACAAAGCATTAACTACTACTGCCGGGTGACTGAACACACTCTTCTTTAAGTAAATTTATTGTGGAAATTCGGAAGCGACCGGTGAGATCCGTCGGCGTATGTTTTTACGTACCATTTGAAAATTGACCACAAAACGATTACACAAAAAAATTAACACCGCATGTTACTAGGAGATGTTTGTGCTTTAAAACGACACAAAGCACATTTGAGACTAAGTTCTCGGATACGCCCACCGAGCTATCTACAGGCCAATAGCTACACAGTCGCTAACATGTGTACATGAATGTTGAAAAGGCTTAGCTAAAATTCCAACTCCAATCTAGATCGTGGCAAAATGCATAGTACCACAGGCCTGTTTGTTCTATTCAAGCACGTATATACCGTATAGATACAATCTATACCGATATTATCTTTTAATTTTTGTTGTATGTGGTATATTATATTGGGTCGGACATGCACTGAACATAAGATAAAATACGCAGATTGATGTTTGTATTTCTCAATAATGTAGTTATTATATATTTAGTCGTATTACTAATTTTCAGTCTTGAAATTGTCGTTATTCATCGACATTGCAACCACCTCCATTTTGCTCCATAACATGGACTTGTGTCCACAGACTAATAGATCAAACATTGTTTTTTGCCTTTGCTGTTTTAGTTACTATTATCTTCGTTATCCGTACGATATATTCATTATTATTAATATTATTACAATTGTGGATATGAGGAGAGAATTTCGCGTCGTTATTTCGGGTACAAATATGGGTGAAAGAAAAAAAAATTTTGAATGGGAGTAGTGCTAACGACCACGTCAGACCGCGGTGTGGATCACAAGGCCGGTGCGTTTGTGTTTTAATGCCATTCACAACACTTGCTTAGACGTTGTCAAGCTAACTGCCATTGACAGCAGTCATGCCCCGAGCTTTTCTCCGCTCTACAATGATATTCCTTATGGAACGGTGCTACTGTTGTTATAACGATAGCGAAAAATAACTGACACAAAGGTGAGCTTAACATGCCATTTTATTTCATCGATTTCTCTCTTCGACAGCATTCTTGGGCACGACTGTATCTCTTGCTTATATATATATATATATATATATATATATATATATATATATACTTGCTTTTAAATATTTACCCTTCTGCTCTCCTGCGCAACTTTCTTAATCGAATACTTACCTGTTTGTATCCGCTATTGATTGTACTATTGATGACGATGGTAACTGATGTCTCAAGTTTGAGTCACGACGATGTCTGTACGCCTTTGCAATGTTGTGACAATGGCACCTATGGCAAAAGCGATCTGATATTGAAGATTCCATAGCCACGGCTCTGATATACAATAAAACCTATAACTAAATATGCTGCCGTTTCCTACTGCCGTTTTACTTTGTTAATTCAGTTCTTCATCGTTAATTGCGTGGTAATATGAATTATCGCAAACCGATTAAAATTCTTCTGTAAGTTCCGTCCATTTTCTGATTCTGATTTTCTGACCAATAATTTCCGGAAAGGTCAGGCGCTCCTTTTGCTGTTACAATAGCACAGTTAGCGCTAATACGTCAATAAAAACGTGAAAAGTTTGTTTACAATCTCATCGGTCTTCCATGTACGTGTCATTTGTCTAACCAATATTTGAATCAATGAAGTGCGGGGAAATGGGGAACTTAGCAGTACTGCACTTTTTTTTGCACCGTCAACCTACTACTTCGTTTGCCCTACAGGATACTACCAGGAGCGATCTCCGGGAACGGCTTCGCTCAAAAGACGATGATAACAGGTACGATGTGGACAATACGCAATTCTCAAAAACGAGTGGCTGAGGAACATTTTAGATACTTAGTGTATTATCGAATACGATACTTTTTTTTTTTTACTGGGTCATTCTACACAGCTACACAACAACAACAACGACGACGACGCACCTATTCTTTGACTTATCTGCTTTATATCCTGTTTCGATTAGTTACCAGTGTCGTCCACGCAGGGAAACATTTCGCAAGATGTTGCCGTTACGCCGTCTTTTCAGTCGACCGGGGCGTCAATAGTTCATCCGTGACATTTTGTGGCACAGTCAAAGTTTAGTTGTTTTATAGAATAGCCAGAATTGTCGTGCTATCTCCTATAAGCTTCTCTTTTATATTTACGTTTTTCGTGCTCAACTGCTGAACCAGACAGACACGATCATTCCCATTTTGAGGACAACACTAGCCAGCCGCAGGGCACTCTGCCTCGCCATGCTGTGCTCACTCATCCGTCAGTTCTTCAATGATCAATCACTCAGTGCTTTTAAGCGATGCCGAACAGAAACAATCTCATTCGCATGATGTTGCCTGTATTTCCTGAGGGCACCTGAAAACAGCCTCTGCTGTTTCAACGCCCTTAAAACTGCTGGTGATACTGCCATTGTTAGCGAATAGCAATATTTGACTATTCGACGGGTACGAGGTTGGCTTCTTCCATCTGAGTAATGTTTGTTGTTGTGGTTTATAATGGCTAATTACGTATTATATCCATGTTCACATATGATATGCGCGCCGTTTTTTGTAACAATAGGCCTATAACTAATCAACACTGTATGTTTTTCACGAACTTCCATTTATGTCTTTCAGCAAACTGGGTGTTACAGACGGACAGGCAAGATGGGCTGTCATACCTACACAACAAAAGTGCTTCTTTTATCACTATTATTTATTATCTTCAGAACAATCGTCATTTCTGCCTGTCCGTTTCTATATTTTGACTCACATGCTTCATTACTCTAGCTCATTCGGTCATCGATATTATGGCACCCTGCATATATTATATAATAATATATCATTATATTAGCTTGTTGTTGCTAGTTTTCTATATAGCCGTGGTTGCTGTCAGCCATTTATGTCATATTATAGAGAGCTCTTTTCAATTCATCCGTTTTTTGTCAATATAATAGCTATATATCATATAACATGAACTTGTTGTACGCGTGATATTAATAAGGGCTGATATCGGCCAAAGGCAACTGAGAGAATCCAGTTTGTACGGAAACAAATTCTATTCTACAGCCTCTACGTGTGGTGCCAGATGTCGCTTTCGTATCATTATTATCGTATATATATTTAATATATAGCATACTATTCTTGCCGCCGACCTTAGGAACACTGGCCCGTATGTGTATGTTTGCATCTGGAGTCAACTTGTGACTTTTTTTTTAGCTTTTGAGGTCAGCCACGATCTATACGATAGCTATGCGGTATAGCCAGTGGAACAGGTTTCGGTAAATGAACTTAGGGGATTAAACGGGATCTTTTGCTGGTAAAATTGTGTTCGTTTCTACTCCACTCATTGGAGCTGTAGAAAAAGTATGACAATAACCACACGCTGTCCTCCACACACGTGCACGTGATCCTCATCATCTCTCGCTTATCTTGGAAACATTCTAGTTGTCGAAACGATGGTACCGATCTGCGCGAGGTGCGCTGTTGCATCTATTTCGGACCGAAGGAGTAAATTATTCTCAGTGCACAATAAATGTTAGCAAATTGTGAATCCTTTCAGGTGACGAGCGTTCTAGCTAGGATAGTTAGCGGAACTCCTGAGTATGTCCTGCATTCATCAGAAACACCTTAGTTTCGTGCCACCGAAAACACTACTGAATACCCAGATAGTTAAAAAAACGTTCTTGCAGAAACAGTAACTGAAGATAATTAAATTCAAAATCGATGATGTTTATCGTTCGTTCCTACTTCTAGCTAACGTTGACACTTCCAAGCCATACGTAAACGATGTGCCCAATGGTGATCTTATCTTTGCACATTCAGTATCAGGTCGGGCTGAATCACACAGAATGAGTAAAGAATATGCGTGTGAGATAAAGTGAAGGTGAGCTTACCATACTGTACTATATTAACTCTGTGGGTGGCACTTTTGAGATAACCTTTTTAGGCTACAATAGCCTATGTAATTGTGTTGGAATCGATTTTAGAGATTATTAGCGGTTTGATATTGACGGATGCTTTCAGCATCGAAGCTTGAGCTAGAAACTTTTTTTTGGTTAGTGTTAATATTTCGTTTCGCTACTGGCCTCGGTTACCAGTTAATAGATTTGCTATGTATTGCTTGAGGTACAAAACTTCATGGCGTCCAGTCTACTGGGAAGCACACGCGGATTATACCAGCCGATGGCGGTGTAGATGAAATAGTTATCAAGGTGGCAAGGTCGATGGACGCGGATGGATGGATTTATAGCGATCTGTGTCTGGCGTTAGTTGTAAATGAGAATCGGCTATATAAAGTACGACCTTTACATAACACAGCAACAAAATCCAAAGGGAAAACCAGTGTTACGCGCTTCCCTGAGCAGGGGTACTTTGCTTGCCAGAGTTTGCAATAATGGTTTAGCTGGAAGCGTCGATGCGTTAGATGTTGGCTCCAATTTACCTTGTAGCTGAAATCCAGACAGAGTAAAATATCAAGAAAAGTCAACAACCGTTTGTACATTGCGTATATTTCAAAGACGGCCTTGAATTTGTTTTCCATCTGCTACAAAAACTAAGTCGTCTTTTTCTATTAACAATAGCGTTTATTGCGGCCGATCTGTTCAGTCTGTATCTTTAGCTTAAACCAGGTAGGCAAGTCAAATTTATCCAACGTTAGTTTAGCAATAGCTCAGATTGAAATTAAAAAATAAACTGTTTTTAAGTCAAGCGTTTAATAGTCGTTGAACGCTTCGGAGATTCGGTCGCATACGCTGAACAATTGTATAGCGTCATGCCACGAAAAAAAATTGTTGAGTAAAAGCTGCTGCTGCTGCTGCTGCTGCACAGTTGCAGATAACCGCAATGGATACGCCTAACAGTTAATAATTTGTTGAGGACATAGTATTTGCTTAACGACCTCCAAAAAATAGATTAGGCCAACAATTTTGCAAATACCCAACTTTGTTTTTTAAATCCTTGTAGCAGTCCTGATTGCACAGTGTCAGTCAGATGATACGGCAGCTTTCTTTTGAACTTGCAGGCCCATTTGGAGCCTTAATCAAGGTCTAAGTTCGACAGAAGGTTTTTGGCCGTTCTTGGATCGTGTGCGGAGCGCCAAGGCTAAATATGCTACCCTGTTTCGTTTAAAATACTAACTAATATATTTTTAGAGTTTTTCAAAATGTAAATGGTAAAAAAAAACTAGGCGCAGTTCGCGCCACTGGAGATTTTCCTTGGCTAAGATTCTAATGGCGGGTATGTATAGGTTATACAAGGTCTGTATAAGTATATAGTTAGCTAGGTGTGCCCTTTGTACGTTATCAAGCCTTCGTTGACCTATAAGCAGACGAAATCACAGCCTGGTTGATCTGCCATAATGTCGCCTGTGCGGAAGTTGTATTTTCAAAGGTAACGTGAACATAAATTGCAAAAACTAGTACATTGAGTTACATAGCACTATCACTTGAGAAGTTAAGGTAAAGTGGGGCTGAATGGACTAGCTTTTTTCAAGCATACATGAAATCGGCTGTCGGCGAGGACAATTTTATGGACAAATCGCAAGAACTAGCTGGCCTCAAAAAGGAACTCAGCTTAATAGGAAGTGTCACAATGGACTAATTTATCGTAGTTTCGCATGCGTTATTACCAGCTACGGGTACCATGTCATTTCCCTGAAAACACATTGACGACTTTATCGCTGTAGCGCATCGTTTGGACGGACGGAACAATATTAGCGACATGTCCACCAAACTGATAGTCATCATCCTAGATCAGAATCCAGGCACTGAATAATCACCTCGTATGATTCGTAATTCGTAATTACGTACATTCGTATGACAGTTTTGCAGCCGGCTTCAGAAAACGATGCCCAGTTCTTGCTGCTCGTCCCCTTTTTTCGAACCAAACGTCACTCGTGGCTGTTCCGGCGCCCATGGATATTCAAAAGCCGGATCTGTCGTAGACGGATCATGGCCGTTAACCTGCTTGATTTCCTAGTAAATGATTAAATAGCATCGCCTTTTCCAGCTATAGTCACAGCCTTTCTAAAAAGAAAAATGTCTGCTTAGTTTTGCCGTAGCTAGCAGCTGCCGTACCAGCACGAAGTCAATAGTAGCCCACAAAACCCCATTTCGTGAGCCCACTATGTGGGCCCACGGTGTAGATGGCATCGATGATGCCACATAATAGAAGACGCTTTAACGATAACACTTGTATATTTTTTGCCCGTGGTACAGGTTGTTTTTAATGATACTGTAAGGCAAATTTCGATATGGATCGTTAGGTGATTATGCCGTTTGCCGCAATCTATCGTTTTTATAGGTACAACCTAATCATTATAAAATCGTTTGAGAAACTATTAAAATTCGCTAACTTTATTGCTAAATGAACACTTGCATACAGCATTGCACGATGTCTGTTTGATTCGTGCATCCTGAAAGGAAGCGCAATCCTGGGTAGCTTGGTTAGAGGCTTAAAATAGAGAAGAGAAAGCAAATCGATTCGAACTTGGCGATTTCCTAGTTACATGAACGGTACATTCGTTTTTTTCTTTATTTCTGAATCCTTATAGACGAGTATTCATACGTTATATCTATATACAACGTAAGAGGAAAGGGCGACGTTGTAGCATCGTGGTCAACGTGGATCAACCAAATGGTCGTACTATAAAACGATTCTGCTTTATGCATACGCACTACGATGTATTCAATAGTGGTAAATATTCTCTAAGCATTACATTACCCTACAGTACGACCGGTGAAAACAGCTCCCCGTCGAAATGTTATTTTACCACGATTGGTGGGAAAAGAGTATCGAGTAAGCACCAACTATAATCGGTTAGCGCATACAAAATTTATGAAAGGTGGGAAAGTAAATCTACCTTGGAAATGATTCACGGCACAATAAAGTTATATAGAACAATCGCACGCCCGTTCCGATCCTGTTTTTCTCGGCGAACATTCTGATTCATCCGATAGCCACTAACGACAGAACAGGAAACAGAAGCGAAGCACGTAACATACCCGCGCACACATTTGAAAATCGCGCTACAGACAGACCTCAGATCTACTGCGACTAGTACTGTGAGTGTTTTGCTAGCAGTTCTTATAGCGTGAACTCGTAGTTATTTATTTAATGCATCAACTATATGCTTTCGAAGTAATTCCTTCCTAATTCACCAGTACAAGAAGCATTCACCCCACAAGAGATCACATTACGTCAGTGAGAAAGAAGTTGGACCAATACTTTTACATTTCCAAGCCACACCTTTGTTTATTAACAAGAACGATCGTGGATTTATGCAATGGCCATCCTTCAGCAACATGAGTCCCCGTCTACCGTATCTATTCTAGAAATCTATCTAATGTGCTCCACGCCTGTATATATATATATATATATATATATATATATTACAAAAATAAATATATTTCTGGATAAGTAACTTAGAATTATAATAGAAGAACTGGACGTCGATGTACAAATGAAGGCTCTTACTGGTCACCACAGAGGATCTTGATCTTCACTTTCTATTCTACGCTGTTCATATTGCGTCTCAAACTATAAGTCTGACCGCCACAAGCGAGTCAATAAACAATAGTGAACCAAGAAAAGCTGCTGATAGGAAGGCTGCAGGTGTGTAAATAAAGGACATGGGCTATTTGGGCTAATTGTTATATGACTCCTTTAAAATAACGATATGACCTAAATTTTAATATTTAGCCTTGAAAAAAAATCTTTCCATGGGAACCATCTAATTTGCGACTACACAAAGTTATGGTGAGTAGTTGCAGGGTGTTTATTCGCTCTATTATTAGGAACGCTCAGAGACCGGAAACGATCTGTCGACGGAACGGTGCTTGGAAAAAATATTCCTTACGTGGTTCGACATCTATATCCAGAAAACGCATATAGGTGCATGGAAGGAATTCCCGAGATGTATGACTAGCCCTAGACGACTATAAATTTCCCGAGCAGCTGAAGACATGGAATCTTCTGCCTGGCAAAAGCACTTACTATACGGATTTGAGCTGGAGAATATTTGCACCGGGGCGAAACAAGAGTAACGTCGAAGGAGAACCATGATAGACATCCATCCAACTGCCAGTCTGTCACTACCAATTTGACAAAATGGGCGCGAGTTTCATCGGGTGCCAATTTCAATGATCTTTACATGTGGTGATGCATAATAAGTTTGTGTATGAGGTATATGGGCGGACCCAAGCTATCTTAATTACGTCGGTATTTCGAAGTGGTGGCATGCGTTTGTTCGTTTGTAAAACAAGGGAAGTGACGCTTGCACTAACAGACGTAATGGGCCTAAGAGTCAAAGACTGCCTGAGACTCACACAACGAGGCGTTGAGCATTCAAGCAAAATTCTTAACCGCTGACATTGGTTGCGGGATAAAAACGTCTCATTTCATAAGCGTCGTCGAAATTACACGTATTATTGTTAAATGCGTAGAATCTACGGGCTACTTTTTACTTTTTGGCATGTACACAAACAAACTGTGGCTCTATTGAGTAACTAGTACTCGACAGCCTATGGCTCCGCCTGTATAGTTGCACCTAGCACAGTGTAATCATGATCGTAACGTTAACAACTATAAGAAATGTTCAATAAGTTCAGCCGAGTATGGTCATATAGAGTCATGTAAAACTTGTTTCTTGTAAGTTTCGTACATCATAACTTCTGAGGACGATGGCCCTTTACACAGTCTTCTGTCGGATCTCCCATGCCAACGCAGGTTATAAATGTCACTTAGCTAACAGTCATCTTCTAGACAGGTGTTTCGTCTTTTCTTGCGTGCTTCTCTGTACGTGTCCTAAGAAAATATGTTGCCTACGAGTCCACGTAGCAATATTCGCGGCCATAAGCTTCAAAGATGCGTGTCAAAAGAACGTGCATTATTTTTCGCGTACATACAAAGACTAAACATTTGCTTTTAAACTTGAGACAAATGTTCCTGTATCTCCTTCAACGCATTCTCATGTAACAGCTTAACCTCATGTGTCTTGCTTGAAACAGCCGTGTTGCGTAAACTTAGCGGGATATTTAGTCCAAGGGCATACCGGTTCGCCAGCACTAAGGACTGTTGAAGGTGTCCGTAGATGCCTGGAATCTTGATGTACTTAGCATAGTAATCACCTAGACACGGCCAATCACTACTATTATAGACGACCATATGTAGCTTCACGGCCTACATTGAGTTACGAAGTGGGCTCGGCGTATGCGACGTCCATGGTCCGGTTTACCACGATAAGGCGCTCTTCATATACATATATATATGTATATTGCTGCTGTATAAGGCTACAATGCAGTTGGAGAGAGTTCATTTCTATTAATCGATTACAAATTCTGTGTCTCGGCCTGTTTCAGAAAATAAGAATAAAACTATTTGCATTGGTGATCGTTCAGGGAGTAGCGAGGTCGGTGTCATCAATCAGTTCTAGCTAAGTCCGAATGAATATTTGGGCATATTTATAGGAATCTTTCCCCATTTTTACAATGAGGAATTATGAAATAATACTAAAAATGTTGAAGGGAATCATCGTTGGAGGTTGCATGGGTACGGGACCGAACATGCGGACCTCACAGCTTCCCTAGCTGTGCTCAAAGGAGACTTATAGGCCAGAAGTCGAGCGGGGGAGCATTGGTAGAACAACCAATTTATCATTAGATACAAACAAAATTCGAAAATGATATGAGGTCTTGTAAGTTTCCGATACATGGCCGAGGACAGGAAACTTCACCATGAGCCTATATGCACTTTTGACAGATCTAGTTTCAGTTTCTGATCTCGCTAGTATTATTGTTGATCTCTACTAAAGACGTCTGACAGGTTAATAATAATCAAAACATCATTATCTGCAACAATTTCTTTGTTATACGTGCGCCTTTTGATGGGCTCACGGTAGCGCAGTTGACGAATTGATTATTTCCATGACCATTCGAGGTTCAACAGCGACGAGCTAGTTTAGGAGCGTTAATGGCAGTAGTTAATTAAGGGCCGCTATGGAAAGATCTAGGGCTAGCTGAAGCAGCGGGAGGCCTTCGGCAGCGGGAGGGAACTTTAACAATCCACCTTCGTTGACCCCGAGTGCGTGCCCATCGAATCAACGACAGCATCTAAATCGCATGTGCAAGGGGTCAAGGGAAGTGGCGCTGTCATCTTACGACAAACAACGTAATGCATAAGCTAACAATATCAACTGGTGAAAACTTTAATATTGCCAACTGATTCGGTAAACAGAAAACGAAAATATGTGCTCGCACAATGGCTAACATCCGAAACGCTTTTCTAGCGGGTAGTTATAGCCGCAGCTGGAAGTAAAACCTTTTGATTCTAGTGTCCAGCGGCCACTGGCGCGTGACAATAGCTCTGAAAATGTTTCAATTCAAGGATACGCTGATCTTATGAAATTCGTACACGTAGTCACCTTTTTCTACACTCTTTTCCTTCGTATCTACGACGAAAGTAAATTGCTCGAACTTCTTTAGTAATTGATCATCGCAACGCGTCGTACATACGCCAGGTAGCCGGTAGTCAATCAATGCATTTTCTATTTTAGAAGTCGTCCTTGTCAACTCGAGTAACGCACATCGTCGATACTTCAGGCGAATACCTGCTTAAACCTAGGTGCGAAGACAAATACGGCCTAATCTGACGGGAAGTTAGACCGAAGCTGACTAAGGGTCATGTAGAGGTTCAGTTGATCTTTACGGAGTCACAAAGGTACGAACGCGTGCGTCATCAAGCCGCATTTATACGTACGCATGTGCATATATGAAAAATACCTGATAATAAAGGAGTGAGGGTAGTAAGACAGTTATATATCAAACTCTAGAACAAAAAAGCTGTGGCAGTTATGAAATTAGGCATATAACAATACAGAATATACCTTTAGGAAACCATTGTGTCCCATTTTCGCCAGTGAAAAGCCTTCCTTGTTAAATGGTCATGATGAAATCTTAGCTGACAGCGAAATTTTCCATTGCAGTTTTTCGTCTCTAGTGGACAGACAAAGTTGCCCTTGCTAAGATCGTGAAAGAGGCATTGGTGGCGAACGGCTAACCGGCGGAACAAGAGACACAATTGCCCCTTAACATCGTTCCCTGCCTGTTTTCTGACCGAGTCTTTGTTCGTTCAACTTTGTTTCTCTTTATAGTGAGACCGCGTTATATATGCGATATGTTACACGAATGCGTGTCTAGCATCACAGCTTTAATTGGTCCGCACTGTTTCCGATATACATGAGGCTACGCTCAAAGGACTTCAAACGTTAAACCATACCTGACCGAGCTGTCTTAGCAATTATTCGAAATAGAAAAAAAAAAGTTTTATTAGCGCAGATAATACTCACTTTAACACCGGTTGAAATCTATGCAGTTGACGTTAGTGTGACTAGTTACTAGGTATCAGCAAATTTAAGGATAAACTTAACCCATTTTCTTCGGAGACCTTCCATTTCCACTTTCAACTATCTTTGTAGCACTTTTTGTTCTAATGCATGGCTGGATACTGATGTGGCTGGATTCAAACTGAATGGCAACCGTAGTACAATGAACCACTGCTTTTCTTCTCTATTGCCCCTGTGAGATGACTCCTCCCCTAGACCGTCATAACGGATTGACTGGCCTCTTCAGCGTTAAACGTGTTACGAATTTGATTCGAGGCAATGAAAGGCTTCAATCCCACACGGCGATGCGTATTCTGCAGGCGAAAGCATATCTGAATGAATTAACTTGTGATGACCCGTGTAACTTTAATGTATTGCCTAACTTATTGATTAGCTTGCATAAGGCTTTTCATTCCATTGCTTACAATCAAATACATATTTAATGCCAACGCTTATTTATGCGACGTTATTAGAGAATCGCTAAATACTACATTCATTGACGTTCATGTGTAAGTTAAAAACTAAGTTACTCCAAGTTGAAGTGTTACAAGACTAATGATGAATTCCCAAGATTTATATGATCTCGGAAAACTTCATTGCTCACAGAAAGAAGGTTCGCACCATACTTAAGGATGATAAATGTTAGATGGGCAGTACTTACTACTTACATAGTGTTGGTAGAGATCGTTAGGAAGCTAGTCAACCGCTATCTTCAAGATTGAAAATAACAAACATAAAGGAAAAAAGAAAATAGATACAAAAAAAAACTACGGCAATTAGGCTTCGGCAATCTTGACTTTCTCAGGGCATACTTTCATCGTTTTTTAACATTTTCGAAAGAAATAAGCACTCAAATTTTTGAAGACATTCCTATTTCTAAATACTTTACTAAAAATTTGCCGTACCGATAAATGTTGTTGCCTTTTTGATAAATAGTTCATAGCGAAATCCAGATCCAATGGGTTCATCTTACCTTCACCCCATTACGCGTAACCATCTCTCCGCTAGCTGCCCGAGCAGCCAGAGTCACCGTAGTAGGCGCTACGGCGAACACGACGTGCTCATCGTCGTCAACCTCGGACTGAACCCCCGAGTCTGAGGGCAGTGAGCTTGAATTCGCCCCGTTGCCGTTGGTTCCGCCACTGCCGTACGAAGTAATCGACGATTCACGAAGCAATGAAGTCCGCTCAGGGTTGTCACAGCTACCAGCGTCAATTCTACGATAGGTCACACCAAAGTTGAACGTATTTAAGTTTGTTATAATCGTACAGCAAGCGAAAAAAAAGAGAAGAAAAAAATTGTCCTTGCGACACGCCCTATCAAACTGAAATGCACCATAAAATGTTTATTATTTAGTATTGCGACAATTCCAATCTCGCGTGCACGTTCACCCCGCAAGCATCTTTCTGAATATCGTTCCTTATGCACGCCCCTGGACGGCTACGACCGAAAGCTCAAACATTAGCTTGGTAGTATATTGGCGGGCACGCATCTCGCGTGCGAATTCACGTCGAGGTTCCTCGCTGATCCTTGTGCTGCAAACGTAAGTGACGATTTGATCTGCATGCAGTCTGAATTGCTATCGTCACGTTTTTTGCGTTTTGCTTTTCTTCCCTTTTGCGTTAGTTCGTTCTCTTTTCCTTTGATCCTACCATTCGGCCCACATTAGAGCTCAATCAGGATAGCCATTGCACGTTATACATACGTTTCAATCATCACTCAACATCATCATCATTCATTTTATCACACTCAGTTATTATCCATGTAACTTTTTTCAACTTCAGCTCTACAATCGCTCTGAAGTAGCTGAGAGCTGTCACGTCTAGCTAACACTCACTTATCGCTGCAGAGCGACTAATAGACCGAAGGCGCATATGTAGTACTACCCAGCCTTGAACTACTACCGTTGCTAAGGAAATGGGTGTTTTGTGATACATTGTGGAAGAAGATATCTCCATAAGTACATGAGCGGTCCGAGTCTTCTTAGCACTTTGTCCACGAAAATTATCTTCATACACATTGCATGAATTTATAGGGTATAGGCCAGTAAAATTATATATGCATCTGTTTGGAATTATACCAGGTATACTATTTAGTTTACAAAGGGATCATTCTTTATGGCAGTTCGAAGTTATGGCTATTGTTCATTTGATGTGTTCAAAGCACAAATCTGCCACAAAAATTACAGGTGTTCCTATTTAATAAAGTTTTTAAGGGACATTGAAAGCCCGTAGAAACCGCACTTAAGGAGAGCAGATATCAGAAGTCCACCTAGAGATAGTTGCAATGGGGTCGTATGCAATCTTACTCTGGAATATATTGAAATAAACAGTATGTTTTGCGCTCTGTCTTCTGCCTATTGCTGCGTGCAGTGATAACCACGACGTTTTCCACCGTGTCCCCGCTCAGTCATCAAGCAGGGGGTTTCCTTTAATGTGAAGTCGCCCTCGTGTCCTGTTCGGGTACTTGTGACATCTGTACCATCTACGTACTTCCGTTCGATGGTAGTCGAATCAGATGGGCCTTTGCTGTGCGTATCGTAAGTTACCGCCCCGACTCGGTTCCGGGCAGTATTATCGTTTTCAAGCACAAGTAGAACATCCTTAACATGACGCGCTTCAATCTTAAAGCTGGTACAAATATCGTCATCATCATCATCATCGTTGTTGTTGTTGATGTTGAGCTGCTGGGTACAATTCACATTATCATGTCCACTATTGTTGTTCAGGTTGTTGCTTTTGTGCAGGAGAATGGCTTCATTGCTGTTGTTGTCGGCGCATTGATTGGCCCTCAAAACTGTATCTGGAGAGTTCAATCGATAGCGATCGGATTCGCCAGAGGATTTGCATTGGGGACCAGGGGGAGCTTGAAGGTACGGAGGATGGTCTACCACTTTCTTGCAGTTTGCTAGATCCCAGAATTCCGGGTGGATTTTCTCCCGGTCCTGTTTCTGCTCGGGCTCCATCGCTGGAAAATTGTTGCTGTTGTTTATATTCTCTCGTTGATTGTTTATTAATTGCGCTGCCGGCTGTGGTGATGACCGTAGTCGATACTGTTGTACTGCTGATGCAGCACATGGGGGGTGATTGGAACTGGTCAGTATGGATATGGCGACCGCCGTGGTTGTTCCTAGCAGTGCCGTCGGAGACGCCTCCCCACGGCTTGGAGACGCGGCACCTTCTCCTAAAATAGAGAATTGAAATATTAGCTTGACATAACAGGGCGTAAAATTGCTCAGAGTTTTACGTCCGGTAGTTATGCCGTCGAGCATTGCTTTAGGCGGCTGACTCTTTCCAGCAGACACAGAGGAGCTACTAGTTGTGTTAATGATATCCGAAAATATTGTAGAAAACTGATGCGGGCATGTTGGTAAATCATTATGACAGGCGTATAGGACTGGTGGGACACAAATCCTTCGAACGTCGAATAGATCATCTACAATTATCAGACTGACTTCGTGTAGAAGGTGGTTTAATTAAATTACGGATGATATGGCAGATGAGTAAAGTGAACTGGCATAACGTGTAACATACTGCAACTATTGCAGCAAGGTGTCATGAAGTTTAATAATAAATAATCCTGTAAATCTAGAAACAAACTTTTCCTGTAGGCGCTGTGTGACTCCTCCTTGACAACGAATCGAAAAGGCAGTATCGTTATTTCATATAGATATAATAACAGTTCATCGAATATGTTTACCTAAAAAATCACCACCGTCCTTGACTCCCTGTCGAAGTGCGTCACACATTATGGCCAACTGGCCACCGCTTGTCTCCTTCTCCGTTCCGATTTGGGTATCGGATTTTGCTCGTTTTGATGGTGTTACGCCTATTTTAGATGGCTGTAGGACGGTTCGAATAATCTCCTGGAACCGCAAACATTATCATGTGCCTTTATATACATGCATATAAAATGCAACTATGTATGTATATATATACATACGTCCTTACAATTCGCACGGTTACTTCGCACGGTTAGGCCCATATATTAGGCTTTCGTTCGAGATATCCCGAATACTCTTTTAAACAGGTATCAGAAAGGTGGACTGAAAAGTGCAAATTGTTAACATAGTACAGGCTCGAAAACGGCTGACAAATAGTTATTGTTATCAACGGGAGCAAGAATCTAAATACTCACGGTGGCCATTAGTTCAGCGTATCGCCGGATGAACTCCTTCTGAGCAGTAGGAGTCGCATTGATAGGATTGGCATTGATCGAATCTTCGATGACGATTGGCGGAGGTCGGCGCCGCCCAGAATCTGCTTTGACGTCCCCCATGATCTGACGTGTAACCTCTTCCGTACACAGTTCTATTGAGGCTATGCCCGAACATCCTGGTTGATTCGAACGCTCCTCTTTGGAGATATTGAAAACAGTACAATATACATTAACAATGTGCAGTAGGCCGTGTAATACAAAATCATTTCTGAATACGTACAGCTAATTGATTTGGGCTAAACGATACATGACGTAGGCGTATTACCGCTGCGACGTTAGAATTTGTCAACTGTGAGTTTACAAACAATAATTTATACAGCAGCAAAACTATATTATATATAAGACTACGTTAAAGTCACTACCGCCAACGGGTCTAACTGGAATCGATTCCGCAATTTCGAAACCTTTGAACTGCTTGGTCTGATCAGGCAATTCATGATGGCCTTCATTACCGGCTCGTATCGGGTCAGAAGGTCGGTCGTTTATTAGTAGGTGTGTTTTATGAGATATTTTTAATCATACTGGAAATTCGATGCAGTCGGATTACACCCACGAGTTCCTGCGAACTACTTGGTAGGCGAATTGAGGGGAAAACAAAAGTGCAGGGCATTTGCATTGAAAGAGTCTCTGTCTGCACCCGCAAAAATGTTACTCAACGATATGTTGTTATTAGAATAGAGCTTGAAGACTAACGATATCTATCCTGTTCCAATTTATTTCAAACACCCTTTAGATATCGCTCCTACTGGGTTAAAGGAGGACGGGATTTCTTCTTAGCACGACGATGAAGTAGGTTCTATGAGCCATACTTAAAAAGGTATTGAAATTGCTTTCACATTATATAATACATTGAACATTACGTGGCGGCTTGACCACTCAAACTAATGAAGCTTCCAAGGTGATGAAGGTTTAGGTAACCGCTCCGATGTAAGAAGAAAATGGGTTATACTGTTGCCCCACATCAACTGGCCAGGCTACGATTGATTTACGCGAGAAAATTACTAGTAACAAAGTAAGTAATGAAGTGCCTTAATAACTGCGATTAAAGCGGCACTTCACGAAGCCCAGTAAAAGATTGTTCTTGATTCATCTTCAAGCTCACTCGTTATGGTTCGAGTCGAACGTAGAAAAGCTTTCAAATTAGATCCGCCTGCCAAACTTTTCGATTATAGCACCCCCCCCCCCAAAATGTAATTTCCCTTGAAGAATATTCAAGAATTGATAATACTGCTTGCACTCTCAAAAGTAGAATAATTTGATTATCTAGTTTTCAGCCGATTGTTTTATGTGCTCAACTTTGGGTACTATCTAATAGCTAGTATGGGCACACACTGTATAGGGTATGAGCTCTAGTGTCTAATTAACCAAAGCCAGACAAATAATATGAAACGCCTTTATTTTCCTTTACACGTTCGTCTACTATATACATGTTTCATCATCAGTGTCCTACTATTTAAGTATGTTTAGGCATTGCTTGGGTAGAAATGAAAGCCTTCTACAAGAAAACAATCCTTGAACGAAGTTCTTACAAGTTTGCCATAGAAGCAAATTATCACTTCGTAGAGGGCGGAGGCATATGTAAGGCTGTACATTATTTACAGTTATTATTATTTAGTATAACTGGGCGCAGGTGGCGGATATGGTTGTCGGCGGCTTGACAGATGTTGGCACGCAACGGAACTTCATTCTAGATGTCGGCCTTTGGACACCGCTAATTAAATCATTCACGGCAATGTATTGGAGACATAACAATACCATCACAACGCATCTATATAAAGTAACTCTTTTTTTTTTTTATCCCTGAGACTATTATGGACACTTAGGCCATGAATAACGTCGAATATTATTGAAAATGTATTTGTTTTTCTGTATTGGTTAAAATATAAGCATACTGGATATCGGGGTAGTAGCTACATTTAATAGCAAAAAATGTATTATTACATTTATACATTATTTCTGAAAAAAAAAACACATCTTCTTAGCATATGTAGTACCATATTTTTTAAATGTGTTATTTTATTAGTATACGTTTATTCTTTGCTGCTAGGCGATAACGCTTTAATGACAAAATTAATTCTATAGATATTACATGCAAAATTGAAATAGCAAGCTTGTTTATGAAGCTGTTGTAAAGCCGTGCCATTTGTCACTTACATAATAGATACGTACTTGCTAATACCTGTTTGAAGAAATGGCAATATTTAAATATTAGCTTTAAGCGAACGAGAAAGACTATAAATCTGCTACGGGCTTTGTAAATTTCTTACAATCGTCTCAATACGACGTGATCGTACAGTGGATCCACCGCTGCTGCTAGGTGGGTTACGACCCATTAACGACCCGATGCACTTTTACAGATCAATCATCACTAGTGCGATAGCAAACCCCAAAATAGGTGCCAAAACAGACTTACTAATTTTCTCTTCGTCGACCTGCTCGATGGCTTCTCGCAGCGCATCTTCAATAGTATGTTGCGCGAATTGTTCGAACATCTCGCGTTCCCTTTTAGGAATAGTGACCTCTATAGCGTCAAAGTCATTGAGGTCGCCAATGTTTGCTTTCTCGGCTGGTGCCAGAACGCGTACAGACTCTGTAGTTAATATTGTGTGCTCTGGAACACAAACAGGAGAAACAGATGATTAGTTATGAACTCGTGAAAATGTATGCTTATCGTCGCTACCGGATTAGATGAGGAACGCCTCAATATCTAGTGCGGCTCACGCACGGTAACTTCCGATACTTATACAACTCAATTTGTACCAAATTATGGATAGAAATTTATGAAAAATTTTACCAAATCCATTTTAGCTATAGCTCCAGTCGATCCGAACTCGACATCTGAGTCAATCTGTGTACGGTAGTCTTAGTAAGTACCTCATTTACTACCTGCTTATATAGCATACATTTGTAAAAAGAATATGAAAGTATATAAATTATAAACACAACAATGGATACTTGACAACTAATTGTACATTACTATAACTAGAATGTAGATAGAGCTTGAAGTTACTCCTATTGTTGGAATTTTTCTAAGCCACAGAGGAATTATAGAAAGGGTAGCTCATACGACTAACGACAATTCAGATATTTCAGCGATTCCCTGATGTTAGCTATTCAACAATGGGACCTCTGCCAGTCTTTGCAGGACAGAGCTCTTAGCTCGGCTCTTGTCTGTGTTCCGTATTTACATGCACAAGGTACTTTATAACAGTAGCGATTGAAAACAGAACGAGCTATCCCAGCAAAAATTAGGGGGCGCAACAAGTGCTCTGTCGGATCACCAGTTTTAGAAGTAGCCATGCGAGGCGTTGAAATCCTATTGAGTATCAAATAGATTGATCAACTCCTAAAACGATGGTCAGAATCTAAGTTTTACGGAATAGTCGGGCAGACATTATTCGGAGAAAAAAAAAATGGACCGGGACACTACACACTGAAGCGAACTCACGTTCGAATGTTTGCTGGGTCTAGGTGACGCGTTTTACGTGCCAACTGGATAAGTTCAGCTTGCGACAAACTCAGTTTCGTAAGAGTAAATAAGAAAAAAAAAAAAAAACAGAGTAGGTAAGCTAGCACATTCAGGTCTCTGTCCGGATCTCTGCGCTCAGATAAACATTGCCATTGACATCGTGATCTGTGATGCCAAAACTAGCTCTACTCTGAACACGAAACAATTGTAACACTATGGTAAAAGTATAAGTCAATTTTGATCGATCGGTTGAACATACATAGAAATTGTAAAAAGCGTAGAAGCAATTCTACCTCGATCTCATATTAGAGAGACAATCGCACCTGTATTGTTACATTCTGCTAAATGCTCCGTACGACAACAAACAGTCTTGTCCTTCTTCACAGTCTGACTGAACTTTTCGCTCCTAGGAAACCTAGAAGTTTCAACTACTATAATATTGCAGTATAATTAATGCTTGTGGGAATAATGGACAGTCCTTAATGAGGTAACGAATACGAACGGGCATTATGGTTGTTTTTGCCCACGCAATAGTTTAGACAACTGAGTCTCTAACTGAAGGAACCAGGGTCCGCTGCTCCAGGTCTCAGCAACGCCATATAGATCCACAAGATGTAAATAAACAACGTTACCTTAGATTCGTTTTCGGGTGAAGATAAAACGGTCAAGACCCTGCAGAACAAATAAGGTTGTTTGTATTGTTAATGCGACAGTTGTGCAGTCATAATAGCAGTAAATATCCATTGGGTTGTATGCGTGTGGCAACCGATACTCGATTTCAAATAATATTCGCTTCACTGCCTAGCCGCTGATCGTGATCTATCAGGTATGTTATCTAACAAATATGATACTGCGTGTACAATTTAGCATTTTTGCTCCGCCACGGTCGACATCCTGCAGGGCGAGAATTTAGCGAATAGAAATGGTACCTCGAAAGGACCTTCTAAATGGTTATCCGCCCCGTTTGACCAATACTCGCTGGATACGGAAGTGATGTCCATCGTAAGTTACATCGATATATATATTCGAATGGGTCATTGGCTTGTAGGGTCCCTCTACTCATCAAGACGCGTTAGGCAAGACATAGCATTTAGGCCATGGCCGGTTACTAGCGAACAGCGTCCGTTCTGTAGTCGATACAAAGTGATCAGAGGACAACTAGTTGGTGCTGCTTGAACAACGGGTGGATTATGAAGATTTATTTTTATATACTAATTAGCACTTTTGCTTACCGTATAGTTTGACACAAACGATACATAGAGCTTGCGTATAGAGATACATAGAATAGTAAACAATATTATTATTGCCAGGTAGCTTGTTTATGGTTTGAACTTAATGTGAATTTATTATACTGCCAGCCCTCATAACGATGTGTTCGATGAAACTTTACCAACAAAACTTAAAAGCGAACGAATGAATGAATAGTGAACAGCATTCAATTGATTGTTACGTACGACGGATCATTCACAAAACATTGAGCTAATCCAGGAAGATTCTATTATTGAAAATAGGAGAAATTTTTGGCAAACAATTTCCAGAACTTCACCCATAAACAAGCGTCTCGTATGCAGAGTCTGTCATTTTAACCTTTTAACTGACATCACGCCGAATTGCCGCTATGCATCGCCTATACATCGTTTGCTTTCCGTATATATCTCGTGTGGTAAACAACTAAGCGAAAAATATTAACTTCGAAAATTTCCGAAGTTCTACCTAGACGCGTGACCCCGCCTGCTACTCACCAACAAAGAACCAGAAATGCATTGATACGAACTTTTTCTTAGTTCAGCTTCTTTCACTCAATGAAGTATATATAGGTATGTTGATGAGGGTTATGACCTTCAGGTCTTGCCTAATATACCCCTATAGGGAATGTATGTATATCGTTAACAACATAAGACCCTTGATGTGCGCATGACATTGTTCCAGACAGACAAACACAGTCATCAATGGAAAGTCGCAAAGGTAGGATATTATTATTATTATTAAATGAGTGAATTATAAAGGGAAATATACCACCGATTGTGACTGTTACGATGACTAAAAGCTTACTCTGTGTCGTTGGATTTTTTCATATGTTGCCAGTGAAAAAGAATCTAAGTATCAAAAGTTACTAAAGTATTGTAACTTAATAGATGAAGTTGAACTTGTGTTGCTCAGGGACAAGTCGAACAATCGACCGAGATCACTGAATATGGCAACATTTAGGAACCACTATAGCACCTTTTTTTTTACTGTCAATAAATGTCCGCTTTCGTACAGACTAATAAATAATTAAATTAATCGCTTTTTTTACGTTGTAGTACATTATTTCTAAAAAATAAAGAAGGAATATTCATATATATATATTGTGCACTTTTTGGTCTAAACAAATGCTTTTATAAATAAAAAATAAAATTCGCGCCAGGAGAAGACTTGCAAATATTCATCAGTATTATTCATTCGAAAGGTAATTATAGTTGTAAGGTCTTCGCACAGTTTTCCTAATCACTATCACTAGCCTAACTTCAGGCGCATGGATTCGTCTTTTTATCTTAATGAGACAAAGGATATTTACAAAAATACATTACTGTTATCCTTAAAGTGCATCAGCCTCGTAATGTCTCCTACGTGGGTAATACTTCGATATAGTATAAACACCACTAAAAAAAGGCGTACAAAAACGCGAAAAAGTGCAAAAGAGATCGGCTTTTAATTAACACCGAAGCTTAATGGAAATTCATTGTGTTGAACGGGAACGTGCTGCGCGCACGGACATTCGACGACCCCATAGTGCATATTAAATATTTAGCCTATTATTTTTTCAGCTTTATTAAGATCCACAGAAAGCTTCATCATAGAGCTAACTACTGGCATAACATTAATGGTACCAGCCGTTTTTTCCATACTCACCGGTTTGCTTATGGGGAATAATATCCGCGCCACTGTGTGGCAGTTGCACTTCGTACCCTTGGTCCTCCTGCAAGGGCTTAATCTGTTCGGCTTTGGCTTTCTCAGACACGGATTCTATTTCAGAAACCGCTTCCACCGCGTGTCCTTTATCTTGTTCTTCGCTCTGAACTCTGTTCAGGCTGACTAGGGCAACAGTGGCAATTGCTGTTGCAGGATTGGTTTCACGATCTAGATCAGATGATCCTTTAACGAAATCTGACGCCGGTGAAGTCACGAAGCTCGAGCTGCTGCTACTCCATTCTGTTGTATAGCAGTTGTTCCTGGCATCACTTCGATGAGAAGTCCGTTTACCTCTAAACTCTCCGTCGACGTTTCGCTGAGAGCTGAAGCAGAATTGGCCACGGTTGGTAACTTGTTCGTCCTGATCGCTGCTTTGATCCAAGCTCGAGATGAAACGGTAGTTTTTCGGAGTCACCTTAGTTATAATATCGCAATTGTCCTAGAAATAATTGAGTAAGGACACAAGAATGGCGGTGTAAATGGGCAGATCGGAGCTGAACTCAAGCGCACCTCTGAATTTACATATGTAAATGCATTATAGTTCCATGCCCTGACTGAATATTTGACGGAAAGCAAGCGCTTGATATATAAACGTTTCGATAAATGTAATGATATATCACAATCTATCTTTACGCCAAACTCCGGAGGGAAAATGTACTACGATGGAGTTTGTCTACAAAAGTAGAGTACTACCTCCTCTCTTCAATAACACAAATTTACCTTATTACTAAAGAGATATTAATAAAATAAAGCTAGATTATGTATTAATACCAATAACAGGTAATATTACTAGAGCTTTGAACTTTCTATAGCTGACTGTTGCCAGATTCAAACGTAGCTAAACGTTAATTCTAAAACAGCTAATTCGGCCGTATAGGTGTTTTTGATGACTCGAATCTTAGTTTCCGTCTAAAAGGATACAAATACATTAAATGAACTAGTGTACCCGTACGTGCGCAGAAACGGTACATTCATCCTTACAAAATGTTCCCGAAGGTAAACTTATCACTTTTTGATTTACTATCATTTTCAACTGTTTCGTTTGATACCTCTGAAATCTCTAGAGATTTTTCTTTAACTAGAATACATAAATTTTCATTCAAATAACATTCATTTATGGAATGGTTAGTAAGGGCTGAATCTGCCCAGATCCCCAAGAGAAGCGTTAACGGGCACCGTGCACAATCCGCCACATCGGAAACAATACAGAAAAATTTCTTTTATACATTTGTGAATATTGCTATATTCCAGATCTGCAGCAGTATGTAACGAGGGGTTTCGTTCAGGATTTGTTCTAACGGCATGTTAGTATGAATGGCCATTATCGACCACGAGAATAAAACGGAAAACATACATATGTAAAAGGACCTCGTATACTTTGTTCTACAGCAGATATTATTTAGTCACGTAAACTGAATCAAGATTATATTTTATACAATGTTTTTTTAACAAATCGTTTTTTCAAAAAAATTTCTTTAGTACCAACTATATAGTTACGGAATTGATGGCTCTGCTAGTAATTATCTTGATCACCCTAGATTTCCCTTATAGGTCTTAAGCTTACAGAAGCAGATGTGTCCACCGAAGAAGGCAAACGCAGTTTCTATAAAGCTTACATGTTTGACGTTTGTACATAATAGCTTAATACTGGACAAGTAACTTGCACATAATAGAAAGGTGGTACATACGCTAATTAGATATTATGCAAAGAGCAATTGCCTCTTCCGGCAGCTATCTCTACCGAACTGCTGTACTTTCAACGAACTTCGAACGCCATTCTTCAGAGCCTCATATTACATCCAGTTACGTTTCCTGTCATATGTGATAGCGGAACTAAGGCAATCGATAAAAACTTACTACTACGTTCGTGTATTCTACTGAGTAACATAGACACACAGCTGCACTTATCCATAGTATAAAAGAACGATGCTGAGCGGGTTTATTAATATGAGTTGGATGCTGTTGACGGGATGGCCTGGATTAGATGATACTCGTAGAAATCCTAATAATAGACGAAATGGACTAAACGTATAATTATTACGTTGTTCAAATCCAGTCTACTTGCTGGTCACAGTAGCGGTATTAATGCTGCTAGGACTCTTCTTGCGCCCTACTGCTTGTCGTCGTCACCAGCCACGGTAACTGCCATTCGGTGGATCGGCGCCTCGGATCCTATCTATGCTATGGCCTCCTCCATCGGGCAAAGACAAAGGAGCAACAGCGGCGTCGTCATCGACATTACTGATTCGGTTCACTCTCTCACTTCCGCGCACCGAGGAGCAACGTTTTCCCACAATTCGAGTAGAAGGTACAGTAACAGCAGAAGAATGGACTAAGGGAATATGAAATGTTAGCCTGCGGATTTCGGACGAGACAGTGGACCGTAATGCAGTTACCGTTGTGATCGAAGTACATAGATGGCAGTAGCATCAACAGCAACAGATATCGATTGTGAGCAAGCATTAAGGTGACGCTGGACGCCGCCAGTGTCGTCCTATCCACGCGCCCATGAACACCTTTGCAGAGAAGGACTCCGTGGTTAGAGGAGAGGGACTTCGTTGCTATGATATTTAGCGGCACAGCAGTGGCCGTAGCGGTGGCAGTAGTAAACTTGCTTTCGCGGTGGCCAACTCGACCGCAAGTAGTGATACACATGTCTTCACATACACACACGCACCTACGTCCACGTCCATATCGACGTAGAGAATAACAGTTGCACAATTCTGGAGAAAACGCGACGTGTCCACCAGCAGAACAAGTAGGTTAGCGTGGAATAGAGTAGATTAGGCTGCGTGAAAGAACCCCCTCTGACGCGACAGTTACTCACTGGACTAGTAACAACAGCGGCAGCAGCAGTAGGTGGTCAGCTCGACACCCGACGTGACGGCAGTTATAGCGGTATTTGCATTGACATCAGACATAACGGTTACGGTTATGATAGGTTTTTATAGAACAGGAGGATGAAACAACTGAAGAGCTGCGACGCGGATAGGAAGATTGCTGATGAGTGGATGAGAACTGCTTTAAGGACGCGACTCTGGCCGAACTGTCCAATCGTTTGAAATGGTCAACGTGTGTTTATTTATGTGAGGGTCGCTAGAGACGGCCATCAACGCAGAGTTAAAGCAATTACGGTTCTTATATTAAAAAAGAAAAAAAACTTAAAAGCTGTTAAAGATTGGTATGTTTATTGGTGTATCCCAAGTTAAACAGAAGTCAATAGGCAATCGAAATCTCATATCGAGTGTCAGAGATGTATCGAATACTAATTTCTTGTCTGTAGATGGATTAAAAGTAGAAGATGTTTGTGTTTTGCATGCGAAAATTTATACATGGTTGGCACGTAAATGATACCATCTATATTCATGATTATTTCACTATAATGGACGCTATAGGTAAGCTGTTCTTGTGCGTGTCGGGTCCTTGTGGAAGTACATTTGTAATACAAAGAGCACGTCATACAAGGACACCGCAATATTGCTCGTAACGACACAGGTGCACTAGACGAGACTCATCTTATTATTAGAGCACCATTTTGGAGGCTGTATGCAGGAATCATTATAATGTGGGAAGTGCACATATGGCAAAGAAGTTATTTGGTTCGAATAGGACGATGATAGGATGAAACGCTATTCCACGCAAGAACGTGTTCCTCCGCAAAGGATATGTTCTCCTTAAAGAGAGAGATAAATGATAATATGAATGGATTGCTGACATTTGCTGCAGAGGCAATGTAAATAGGCGCCCAGTGATTTACACATGGGTAAGTCCTGGCAGCGGTTTTAGTAGCACGAACGACATACTCTGCCGGCCTGTTTTCAATTAGGCTCAATCTGTCTCGACGTGCAGATCCTTATTTCATTAATTTTATAGAAGCTTAGTTAAAACAGCTCGCTAGAAGTGCTTCCTAAACGTACTAGGCTGATTAAGATCATCACCACATACGAATGAAAACGTTACAACCCTGAATATGCATATACGAGAACGGGTGCATCCTTCCGCCTTCATATTTGAAAGCAGGTCTTTTGAGTCATACTGCTGAACTCTTATTGACTTTCTTTTTAAATTTGACCTTTGCATTGGACTAGTATAGCGAAGTTTTTTTTTGTAGTTCTCAATAAACATTACGGTGATATTGTATGTGAATTAACGAATAATTCATATGATGAGGTGTTAACTAAGAGCTTCAGCTTTTACGAAGGCCCGAGGGACCTGTAGGAAAGTTTGTCGATGGTTTTAACACGCTTGCATGGTAGTAGGCAGAGCGTCTTGTTGTCGAGATAGGGGGCCAGTTTTGTCAGATCAAAAAAAAAGTTAAACCCATTGCAAAAAAAGTTCAAGTTGCGGCATTCCAAAATAGCATTGTAAGTATTTCGAAACCACTTTTTAAAAGACTGTTTCTTGCCAAATCGAGACTGTGCCCTCAGTTCTGATTTAGACCGTTCTAGAATACTGACATATTCTATTCCGAAAAGATTTCCAGTACAAGTTTAAATAGCACATGTTTTTGTTACAAAAAGTATTCAAAACAAGTGGCTGGCCGTTACAGAAAATTGAAGTAAACTCATAAAAAAATGAAAACAAACGATCATTATTTTAAAGTCTGTCAGATGTTACGCAAAAGTATGCCATATCGCTAACTCTGTAAAGTTTTTTTTTCATTCAGGCGCAGTCTGTGGCCTGCTGCGATTCTTATAAAAAGCTTACGTAATGGGCTTTGTATGTCGGAGACAACCGTCGCATCCGATATGCTTTTTTTAATGAAAAATAATTACAAAAAAAAAATAGGTGCTTCGAGTATCCGGCCATATTTGTTTATTGCATAAAAATGCTGAATTTATCAGGTCTTAACGTGTGAGATATCGATATTTAGAGATTTTCATATCACCTATACAACACACAATATGAGCGCTTATCAAGGAATACACGAAGTAAACGAGACCTCAATTAAATGAATTTTGCGTGACGGTAACATTCATATCAATACAAATGGAAACTTTATTACAGCAAAGCTGTTTTTTTTTTTTCGAAACCCATATTTGTAGTCATTGTAGATTGATTTTTTATTCACTATAAATTTACCACATACTAAGGGGTAGGTACGTTATTTCAATGTTTCGGTACATATTAAAAAAGTATTAATAGTTTTTATTGATGTGTATTGAGTAAGCGCGCAATCACTTTGTAACGCTTAATTATTAAAAAAAAAAAACTAACATGTTTTTAATAATTTTTTGTCGGTAATTTTTTGTTTGCCTCAGAAATGGCTCACTGGCCAAATGTGTTAACGGGCCCGTCGAATGATTAGAATCCAGGAGTCGATCACTATTGCAGGCAAGTGATATGATTTCCAATACAAGTCTTATCGTTAACTTGGAAAATAAATATTTGAAGGACAATCCTTGGACCAGTTAGTTTACTAGAATTCACTACCGAATG